CACCTTGAGTAGACAGCAGATGCATCAATACACTGTGGCTTTTTTTCCTCCCAGTTAATAGCAGAATTGAAAATTACTAGAGAAGTCACCTAGACCAGACCCTACCAAGATATTCTTCATGGCAACTAAGCAACAGATCAAACAATGTTCATGCATTTTATTGCATACCTGAGCAAGTTAAAGTAAGCAGGCCCCAAAGAAAACAAAGTTTTCTGATTCAGTTCAAAGATTCACACAGATTAGAGAATGAATAATGGCAGCTTCCCAAGTTTTTAGGCTATCCTAAAGGTGGAAGAAGTTCACATTTTATAGTCTCATTAAGAACTGTTTACATCTCAGGCCATAACAATGTCTAGGCATGAAGACAACACTATTTGCCACTGAAACTGAGAAACTGATTTTGATATTTAATGTGTCATATCTCTATATGTTGGTTTTTTTTAAATCTCTAAACAGTAATGAAACATATCCTTTGTAAAATGGGATTAAACAGATATGTAAACTGCCATGTGGAACTATGGTCTATTCAATTTAGGAAGGAAATAAAGGTTTCTCTTTTTTCATGACTCAATCAAGAAGCCTTCCAAGAGGCCTCTTAAAGAGGAGAGGCTCCCTGTCTCACAAGTGATGACAGCAGCCCCTAAATCAAGTGTCACACAGCTTCAAACCCTATGGAGTCATCATTCATGCTTGCAAGAGGGGAAGGAGAAGCCTCCTTCCTTGACATCAATGAGGCAAACACAGAATACTCCTTCTGCTCTCCTAAGGATGATTGATGACTCCTCAGCAGCTGAAGTGTGTGACATTTGATTTCACTCACTGATAAGATTGTGTCTATCCAAACACCTTCTATTTAATGTTTCCAGGGTCCCTACAAAGCTGTTCGTTGTGAGGTTTTACACAAAGCTCAATTGTTCAATGATTAATGAATTTTTCAGCAATAGAAGAAAATTTTGTAACAGAACTTTGTAACTGTGCCCCTTGATATCCTAATCACAACACAATATAAGCATCCAGGTTCTTAAAAAAAAAAGTTGAAGATCTTCCCTCATTTGTCAAATGATACTTAGGGGGGAAAACAGTCAAGGAAAAAAAGCCAGTTTTATTCTACAACACCTTAAAATATACACCATAGGTTTGCCTTCCAGAAAACCTAATGGATTGCTTGATTAAAAATATTTTCCTAAACTTTAAAAAGCAGATTTGAACAATTACAGATTTCAACAGACTTGAAACATGCTTCATAGTGTTCTTATTTTTCTTACAACACCAAGTTATTTCTTATTTTGAAACAATGCAGTCAGCATGATTTGAAACTATGCTTTATAAATACAAAGCCCACTTTTGGCTATAGGTTCTAAAACCTACCTTATGTTGCAACTAGTCATAGCAGAGGTCTTGTTAAATAAAATTCTTTAATATCATGTAAATTACACAACACTATTTACACCTATTACAGAGCTCATGCTCATTTGTTCTGCTATTAGGATTGATATTGCATTAACTATTCTAAGAAGCTGTATTTTTTTATCTCCCTTATGATATCACAATCAGGAAATGCAAGAATGTTTTGAGACCCTGATTTGGTAAGTGCCATGTTCAGCTGGATTCTTCCATGCATGCCCTTGGGAGCTTTAGCACTTTACACAAAATTCGTGAATCTCTGATAAACACAAGAATTGGGCAACTCAGAAGGCTGTCAGAAAATAGTCAAAGGGAGCTAAACTGTACTCCAACAGTTTGTCATTTATATCTGTATGTCTTTTTTTCAGTTTTTTTAAGGTCAAGTGCTTCATATATTTCTAGTGTGAACATTACTTTCTTACTCTCTAAGTTTGGTAGTCAAAAAGCATACTGGTAAATCAGAATACTGCAGTACAGCCAGAAAAAGATAATGAATGTGGCTATCCTAAGCCTTCAGAATGGCATTACTGTCAAAGAAAAATGCTCCACATAACCTTTATCATTTTTCCAAAACCAGCCCACCAGAAAAAAACAAACAGAAATTCCAAGGTTGGACTTGCCAAATGTATCTTTCATTTAAATTTTGAAACAAAGGCATTGCTTTTGCCAAACATCACTGAGCTTTGCTGAGGCCTCGCGTGAAAAAACAAGGGCTCTGACTATTTGGAATTCATATTTGATGTAAAACTTGGGATGGTTCCCACTTTATGCAAATAAGAGACTGCACGTTACCTTGAAACTTTTTAAATTAAAAATGATACTGACACAGAGCTGTGCCAAATTAACTCAGAGATGATGAAATGATTATAAAAACATGGGTGTTACAAACTGTCTTGGCACTTAAAGACATGATGAAGTTTCTGCTAAAACAAAAATAAAGACTGGTTTTGAAGTCAACATTGTATTTTTGAAATATTACACTCTTAAGGAATTTAAAAATAATTAGGTACAAAATCAACAGATATTCATGTTGAAAAATATACTTATAAAAAACCTTTTAACATAATGATAGATTTCTAATGCTGACAAACTTTAATTTCACAGACAAAAGAAAACCCAACCCTTAGGTATGAACTTTTGGACAATAGTGATTGGTCTATAATATAACCTTATAATATTAACTTGTATTTTTCTTTACTAAGAAAAAATAAATAGCTTTTCTTCCTAAAACAGAAATAAGAACCAACTTATGCTCTCTCTCATTGCTCATTATGAAATACATTAAAATCATGCTCAAAAGATGCCCATACTCAAAATTATGCCAGTAAATGTTGTTAAGGACATCAAAGTTGACAGGTGAACAGGAGCTTACAACATATAAGGTCTCATTTTCCAATTTGATGTGTACTGCCTCAAATACTTGAGCATATGATATGAATACTCTCCAGCTTGAGGGAGACTTTTCCTCAATTTTCCAGTAATGATAACATGTACTTTGGGATAATGTGAAGATTTTTTTGAAGACTATGTTTGTTCCACAAACAGCCACAGTTCTACCGAAAGTAGCTAATTAAAGTGGTAACAGGTAATTCCCAAATTCCTTTCAGTATCACATACATTAGGCAACAGGGAAGTTGAATTCTTCAAGGAAAATTACGTTCTGAAACTGTCAGACAGTCTTTACTTAAAAACTGGATTCATACATAGATATGGGTTTGTGTGCATCGCTTTTCCCTTCCTGCTCATTACTCTTCAATGGAGTCAACTCCAATTGGATTAGGATAAATATTTAAACAACATTTCCATAAAAACAGCTGATCATCTGGAAGATGGAGAACTTACTGGTGTGCACACTGAAAACACTGAGCACTATGCGCTCAGAAGTAGATTAAACTTCAAATAACCTACAGGGAAGAAAACATTTATGAATACCCAAACTGGGAGAAGTCATGATGGGAGGTATGGGAGGCACAGGATGGGTGGGAAGAGAGGCTTAGTATTCATTGCTAAATATGCATGTGTGCGCCTAGACATCTGTGGAATACAAATACAGAGAAATACAAATAGTTGCCAGAAACAGTTGAAATGAACAAAAAGAGAAGAAACCAGAGAAGACTCTTGGAAACCTGCCATATTTCCTCTAAGCATACAGTCCACCTACTTGGCAAGTTCACAGGGAAACCCAGCTTGCATCACTGTGACTCTCAAACAGTCCTTCCCGGGGAATGCCTTGAAGAGACAATGGTTTTTCCAATCTGTGGCCATAAGATGACCAGACTATTTTGCAGCTGGAACTCCTTCTTTGTCCAAAAAATTCAAGGACTTTCCTCTTACCCAGAAGGCATCTTTAGCTATGAAAATGTTCCATTAAATGGTTCACCCTTCACCATCTGCTACTGTTCAGAAAAACTTCATTTTAGCATTTTCTAAATTCTGAATGCTTAACTTTGAAACCCTGAAAAAGCATTTTCTGTTTTGGAAATTCGCAGTTCTGCAGTCTTGCAGATTTGTTAAATGTTGGTATTATTCTTAAAATAAATGTCTATTTAAAACAAACCAAAAAGTGCTAAACTAACAGCTTGAAAGCCTTGCACCTACCTGTTGTTTCTGAAAAATATAGGTTGTCATCCTCTATTTGGATCCATTACTAAAGGAGAGACATGCTTTTTTTATTGATTTCATTTATATTTATGGATAGAAATGGAATGCATCACCCTGAATTTCATTTTAAGATCACACTGCCAGTATACTACTGTTCTCACTGATATTTTCTTGTTACTTTTCCTGACCTGTTCTCTCCAACAAGCCTCCTTCTACTCCTCCAATTTTCCTAAGTCCTCAGCTTATCCAGTAAAACCAATCTGAAATCCAAGCTTTTCATTCAATTCACTTCATTATCATCCACACCACTTGTCTATCACATTGGCTACTTCACCACAGGAGCCCAAATCCTGCTGATTTCAGGTCTCCTACATAACAGTCACATTCAAATCCATTCCTTTCCTTAAAAGTGATCAGACACTACCATACCCTCCTCAGCTCTGCAAAGCAACTTTTCAGCTAACAATAAAACATTTCCATTGACCTTCACAGTTCTCTCTCTACATCTTGGTTCCCATCAGATCTGTCCAATGTCTCTCACATCCTTTATCAGTTGCTGATGTGGCTTAAACCCAGTCTATTTGTCAATTATTAGGGTAATGTGAGGTCATGACCCCAACCCAGTTCCAACTCCTCTTTGCACATCTTTTCCAGTCTTTTCAATACAGAACTAGGCCACTGCTACTGTTTAATGAGCAGCCTAAGTTTCCATCTAAGAGCCACAATTTACCTCTCTCCTTTCCTGGCAGGCTCCAATCACCCACTCTGCTATTACTCCATATCTGGTCCTGACTTCTGAGGGGACAAGGGAAGGCCTGCAGACCATACAGAGAAAAGATCCTAAGAAACAATTGGCTAACTGCACATTACAAGTGAAGACTTAAACTTCCGTTGTGCAAGAAACCGTAAGTTATTCCCTACACCAAAAAAAAAAACAAAAACAACAAACTCAATTCACGTTCAAACCAGAGAATGGACAGTCACCACTTGCTCACCTGAAATATTTGTTTCAAGGAGAAAAGTGCCCGTCTCAGCTCCCGTCCATTGGAATTGTAAAGTTTTTCTGGGGGTAAAAAGAAAAAAAAGACAACATAAAGAAGTTAAGCATAAACAAAACTGTCAACATGGCAAAAAAGTAGGACAGATTTCAAAAGAGTTGAAGAGTCATAGTGCCCACTTCCCATCAGACTGCTGTTACAGAAAGCAGCTTTATTTTATTATATATATAGGACTTATTCATCAAAAAAGTGCACATAAAACCAGGGTTCAGTTGTCCATAACTTCAGATGGCATCTCTCAGGTAAATTCACAATAGCTTTAACAAGGTCAGTAAGAAACAATATTCTAAGGATTTTCTGTAAATGCCTACTCTTTCTACATTAAGATAAATTTAGGGCTTATTGAAAGTACCAGATAAGTCTCAAAAGACTCAACTGAGAGCACTCTTTGCTTTTGTTATCAAAGCTAGAGCCACTGAATCCATCCTTGACTGCCTTCCCTCTAGACATTCTTTTCTCATGCTCTCATCTTTCTATTGTTAAATCCTTTCTGCAATGGCAATGAACATTAATACCAGAAATAGTCGGACAGTCTGTTCTAAGCATAATTCAAAACAGTGTTTTATTCTCATGAAAACTGATCTTGATCTTTTTCTAAGTAGAGCAGAAGCCTTCTTTTCATCATCCAATACTGATATAGATTACTTCATTTATTCCCTTACTAATGCATACTCACAGAAATAATTTAAAGTAGATGAAAGCATCTCCTCTGCTTTCTGAACCCTGCCACAACATTTGTGCCTTTGCAAGAAGTCTTGGACTGTATATTTCAAGTTTATTATATTTGGAAGTGATTTGCAACTATGCATGGATGGAGCAGAAGGTATGCTTTAAGTCCTCCTGCTCTATTATGTTTTGCATATCTGATAAAGAGAGACTATACACAACACTTCTACAGTCCTAAATTCAATTTTATTACACTAATGTACTCTGAGGACAATTACAAAGAAAAATCAAATCTTTATGGTCATCATGACATACTTTGCCTCACACACAGATCATCATGAAAGGACCATCTCTCCAGTGACCAGTAGGTCATGCAGTAAAAGCTGGAGTGCCCACAGAGTGGGAATATTCTTACGAGAAAATGAAATACCAACCCCAAAGTTTGATTTCTTACTTTCCCTTGTTTATTTCTCTTTTAATTGCTACCTTACACTACAAAATCAAATTAAATTTCATTTTATTTTATTTCCCTCTCTCAGAAAGTTACAAAAAAGGCCTGGCATTTCAGGATTCAATGCATTTGTAAGTTTTTTATTTCAATAAAAGAAAGTAGATTTTAATTTTAGAAAATCATTTCTTATTCGCAAAAGTCACCTTCAACCAAAGGAAAAATGTGAGGTAAAACTTACACTTTTTTTTTTTTTTAATTTTGAAAGGAGTTTTGTTCATCCTTAATTACCTCTGATTTCAAAGGCAGAACATGTAGGAATGGCAAAACTATTGCTGTTATAAGTTGTCTCCTTCCTTGCACTGTTTATAGATTCCTGACAAAACATTGGAAGAATGGATTTCACTTCAAGCCATAAACTTAGAGGCATACTTTAATTACTCTTGCTTAAAAACTCACTGGCATGCGAAACCACATTTCTTGGCAGGATAAAGAGTAATTTTGTCAGGAAAGCTTAAAGAATAATAAAGGTCTTTTAAGACCCGGTCTGTCAACTTTACATGCCATATTACATGGAATATTCCTCTTTGAAAGATACCTCCATCTGGCATTTGTTATTACTGATTTTCCTCTATTCATAATTCACCAGCATCGTTATGAGCAGAATGTCTCGAAACAAGGCAGTACATTATCATCTTAATTAAGAGAGGCACCACTTCTTAAAGTGCTGGCAACTTTGTACATAAATATCAATGTCTTAACAAATGCCGTCTGTTGGTTTTGGTCTTAAACAGGAACAATCATCATCCCAGCCCTGGGTAAACTCCTAACGAATCATTGTTATGATACCATAACAATGGTTGCTTTCATTGGTGCATGAAGATTTTTGGTATGTCTCAGAGGAAAAATGCTGAACATTTTTCTTCTTGACCATTTCACAGAGCATAACATCGTCCTTGGCAATCAGCACAAGCAATGCTCTCCTGCTCACATGTAGCAAAGAGGACACAAGTTATCATTAGAGCTGAAGAATCAATAACTACTGGAAGCACCAAGTTTGATAATAGCTGTGGCAACAAGACAGCACATGTAGCAAACGTTGGTCTCACACCTCTTTTGAGGAGGAATAGTCATGGAATCATAGAATAGCTTGGGTCAGAAGGGACATTTAAAGGTCATCTAGTCCAAACCCCCTGCAATGAGCAGAGACATCTTCAAATAGATCAGGTTGCTCAGAGCCCTGTCCAACCTGACTTTGAGTGTTGAGAGAAGTCTTCTCACTTCTGACATCTACTACCAGGGCGCAGCAATCTACACAGAAACAATATACATTTGCACACCCAAGTTTAAGCCAATGTACTGCACAGGTCACCATATGCCAGATTATACTTTTACTGCATTTCTGTGTTGTTTTTTTAGAAAACAATAAACACATACACACTATTAGACATGCACAAGATTTTTTGTAACAAGGTCTTTTAAACACACTGAGAAATGGCCTTTCATGCTAAAGCACAGAAGTGACTGTAACTCACATGGTGCATCTCTGGCAGAATTGTCTTTGACTGATGCCTATGGCTTTGAAACAGGAGTCCGGCCTGCTGCCATCGCTACAAAAATCTCCTAGGTGCTCCTAGGAAAGCTCGAAAGACCTACCTTCTCAATGCTGTGTTATAACATGTTGTAGATATGCTTGAATACATACACCAGGACTGTCTTATGCCAGAAACGGAACTTATGACCTTCAAGCAAGAAGATTCACTGTTATACTTCTCGCTGAAACTTCACAAGTCTCAAGTCTCTGGCCCTTTGGCAAAACACATTCCCAGGTCAGGTACAGGTTGGAGACATACTACACTCACACACTTCGAGATTAGAGAAGATAAAACAGTTCAGGAAGTTTGAGATATCTGACTGTATTTAGCTATTACCGGCTGAATTTCTCACAGTCATGTCCTGGTAAGCTATGCTATTTCAGTTCTTTTTTACTATGCTTCCTCAAGAAATTAAGAGCTGCATCTGTGGCTGTGAAATAGGTTTAATTCCAGGTACCTAATGATAGAAAATTCTCCTAGTGGTTCCCTCTGATGTTAAGTAACACTAGAGGGCACTGCTTATTTCTTCATTTTATGAGAGAAAAGTCACTGTGCATCCCTGGGCTTCCCACTGATCGAGCAATACTGTTTGGGATGCCAAGTGGGTAATTCACTAGCCTTGAAACCCTGCTTTTTAATCAGTAGACTGTAGGACATCCTGAGAAATCAAAAAGCATCAGCACTCCCAATCTCACACCTTCAAAATCAGTCAAGTCTTTCAAAACGATCCAACAGAAAACCAGCTACTGGTATGGGTTTGAGTTGTATCTACTGCTATGGGTTAGAGTTGTATCTTTGTGTAAGAAGCAAGAGTCACATTTGTTAAATTACCCTTCGCAGCATAATGGGTAGCTGTATATCTTTGAAAGACAAAGAAGTTCCCTTAGTTCACCAATCCCTTCTACAGGCAGAGCATCAAAGATAACCAGGCTTGAGATACAGACACACGTGAGAGGTACCAACCCACAAGTGCCTGTTCTCTTGCAATGGCAGGACTTTGGTTGAGAGAACGATTCACACTCTAAAAGAAAGCTTTTATTTATTACTCCAGGGTATTCTTTGCTTTTATTTTTGTAAAAAAATCAGCTCTCCTACAGAGGAAAAGAGAACAACTCATGCTAGCTGTAAAGGGATTTCTCTAGGTGAATTTGGTACAAACATGGCAGTGGAGAGAAGGCAATTGGGTGTACAATAGGCACCTTCTCAGAAAGCAAAATAAACCTTTAAATATCTTCATTTAGCTGGACCACTGGTGGCTTTCAAAGAGGATCCTGTATTTTCAAAGTCAGAGGCTCAGATTTCATTGGGTATTCAACTCTTTTGACTGCATGGGAAAAGGGACTTAAAGAAAATAATTATTGGTCTTTATATCCTTATTGAAAGTATCATCTTTTCATTTGCTTTCTATGGCAAAATAAGAGTTTTCAATCTGCAATAATAAAAGAAAAATAGAACTGGCTGGATATTCCTTAGTTCAGTCCCATGTGTTACACCTGACCTCTGACCGACAGGGTACCATCCTCCTCCCTTCCTTTTCCATCACACCCATTGAATTAGTCCCTGGGATATAGTAATTTATGTAGCATCAGCCTTTTGAGCTATTGGCAAGGGCCCATGAACATCTGGCTGAGCACAAATGGGAGTTGCTCTGCTTCACTTGCTGCTGCCTGAATGACCTCCACGTCTCCCATCCATGCCTCTTTTCTTAAAACTATAATTTCAAGATGAAGCGCCTTTCCTTACAAAAACATAAAAGGGAGATTAAATCCACATTTGATTACATTAGCAGTGTACCTCGTGCAGATCTAATTAAATGACATTTTAAACATTTCCTGCCATTCACTTCTGAAGTCTTTGCATGGGTCAGAAGTAGCAATATTCTCTGGCTTCCACTAGCCACTTGCAAATGCGCTAGTACTTAGAAACTAAAAACTTAACTCTTGTCTCTGCAACAATGAATAAAACATTATTTTAAGTGCTCTCTAGGAAGAAGTATTAGTGATAGAAATAATAGTAATTGTCTTTTAGAATTTAAATTAACTACCTAGGCTTCCACCAGCACAGAGGAGAGAGGGAGGGGAAAATAAAGAACAAAGAAAAATGTTTATAACTATAAAATCCCCCTCTTTCTGCAAATGCCAAGTACCACACTTCCAGATTTATCACTGCACCATTCCAATTTTAAATGGGTATTATTCTATCTGAATGAACTTACAGAAACGTAAAACTCGGTAAAAATTCGAGCAGCACAGCAAGAAGTCAGGCATGCAGGTCCAGTCCTGTGAATGGGCTTCCG